TATTACCCACTCGCGTCTTTCACCGCTTTCCTGGCTGTCTGGAGTGTCTCTTATCACAGTGGGACGTCCTAGGACCAGGCTGTTCCTGCTCTCTGGCCTGGTCTCGCCGGCCTGTCCACGTTCCGCAGCGTTGGCAAGCGCTGCTGACTCCCCCCCCCTCTGGCCTGCGTACCGACGTGTGCGCCCAGGCTCCAATCAGATCTAGGGTGTGTGTTCGAGAGCCGGACTTTGGACGAGGCCGGGCGCTGCAGACGCTCACGCACAGGGGAGGAAGAATTGCTTCCGTCCTTCCACACACACACACCGGCATCCGCGGGAATGATACCTGCCCAGAGAGATTTCTTGATAAGACAAATCTAGTCCCCAAGCACTCACGTGGGTATTATTTCAACGGCAGGGGGCTGGGAATAGCTGCTCAGTTTGACAGTACCACTCCTGTTCTCCCCACTGTCCACGACCGCGGTGGTCTGATAGGTCACCTGATCGTACAAGCCACTTGGCTGTCACCCTGGGGGCCCGGATACGGCCCATGACAATAACGGGGACAGGGACGTACTGACAACCAGGAAGTACTTGAGTTTTCATGGGAACTGAGTGAGCGTGAATACAACCTGATAACCACAGGAGCTAGAGGAAATAATAGTAAGAAACAGCATCACGTACGCCCTGGGGATAGTGAGTGTGACAACATTGAACCAGTCACACCCGGGCACTGAGCCCCTCTGCATGCAGCCCCCCCAAACTGCCTCCTCCTTGTCACATTAACCTGTAACACCCGGGCACTGAGCCCCTCTGCATGCAGCCCCCCCAACTGTGACAACATTGAACCAGTCACACCCGGGCACTGAGCCCCTCTGCATGCAGCCCCCCCAAACTGCCTCCTCCTTGTCACATTAACCTGTAACACCCGGGCACTGAGCCCCTCTGCATGCAGCCCCCCCAAACTGCCTCCTCCTTGTCACATTAACCTGTAACCCCCGGGCACTGAGCCCCTCTGCATGCAGCCCCCCCAAACTGCCTCCTCCTTGTCACATTAACCTGTAACACCCGGACACTGAGCCCCTCTGCATGCAGCCCCCCCAAACTGCCTCCTCCTTGTCCCATTGACCTGTAACACCCGGACACTGAGCCCCTCTGCATGCAGCCCCCCCCACCTCCC